AAGAGCTATAGATAATATGTACAATAAATAGTACTTAAATCGATCGCTCTAAAAAAAAAATTCCATCTTTTAAAATAACTACGTAAATAAATAAACTGGTATTGTAAGAACACACACTTAAAAATATATTATTTTTAAATTCATATTATTCTTATAGTAAGAGGTTTTCTTTAAATACGGTAAACATTTTTTTATCACATTTTTACATTACAATATTTGCATTTAATAGGTAGGTACTTCAAAATGTATACAATTTACCCGAGTAGAAAATTAGTTTATGTTAAATACAAAAAACTACAGAACAAAAGAAAAAAGTATATGAACATTATTTTACTTAGGTAAGCAGCTGAAATAAATATTTATATTTTATTTTATTTAATATCAGGTTGAGAATGATTTTGACATTTAGTTTTTTGATAATTAACACCAATGCAAAATATACTTTTTGAATGAAGATTGAATTGAGAAATAATTATTTTTTTTTATGAATGTGAATTTTAAATTTATATACAAGATGTGTGAAACTAAGGCGTAGTTATTATTATTTTTTTTTTATGATAACTCCTTTTATAGATAATTTTGTTTTCATTATAATTAAAATTTAATATATCAAATTAAATAAGAATTCAATATTTTCAGTAAATTATTTATTAGTGTGTTACACTATATAATGTTTATACTTTTTTATTCTAAAAGTAACATACACTTCCCTCTAAAATTTATTATAAATACTCGTATTGTAACATTATATCATAATATGATAAAATTAAAATTAAAAAAAGAAATTTTAAACTTTAGGAAGAAGTTTATTTTGTATATTGTACTCTGTTTATTATTTTTTACACTCTTTTGAATATAAATGTGCTCCACATTAAATGTCTTGCTAATAAATATGCCAATACTATTAGATAAATAAATAATTCCATACCAACTTTGTTTTTTACACGTTATGATTACGTGCAGGTACTCTAAATTTAATATTTTATTATTTTGGGGCGTTGTGGACGTACCAGTTGCCCTACAGCGCTTTGTTCAGCTAGTCGTTTCGTTGCAAGTTCCCATGTGGGTGACCACCAGGGAATTTTAGCAACACATATGTCATGTCCTACCTCACCTAATCTCGTTGATTTAAAAATATTATCTAGCTAAAAATCTCTCCTTAAAAAATATATATTTATAATAAATTATTAAATTTTTTTTAGTATTTTATATATATTATTAAAAAAATATTCGTGTAAAATAAAAAAAGGTGTTATACCAAATAATGTATAAAAATTATGAACCTAGTATGGGTGCAGTACTATATGACCTTGAAGTATTAATGTTAATGAGTAATGACTGTAGATGCGTACAAAATCAAAAATGTATACTGTCAATTAAGTGATAATCTTAACATCATTTATTTTCAAGGTGAGTTAGGTTAGATTATAAGAATGTGTAAAAAATGTACCTACTTCCCTATCTACCTATTACAAAAATAATATAATTTAGTACAGAAATAGAAATAATATCAATTATTATTGTGGATTTTCCAAATTGTTATGAAAATACCCGAATTAATTAAAACTTTAACGCTTTGATATTAAGTTCGATTAGATTTTTTTTTTTTGAATCCATACATGATTTTAATAGGTTTATTAAAATGTTCTTGTGGAACCTTAAATTATTACATGATAAACATACATTTTTATTCGATATTTAAATAGATAATAATTGTCTGCAAGCGTGGATGTACTTGTCTACAAACCTATATAAAAAAATGAAATAGTAAACCAATGATTTAAAAATTATAGCAATTTTATTATTTAAATATACATAGAAACGTTTACAAAGGATCAATTAAATTATATTGGGAATCTATTATAGTACCCTTCTATATTAACTATAAGTTATTTCATTAACAGAAATTACTTTTTGTTTGTTTTTAAAATTAAAAATTAATCGATTACTTTTATATTTTTAATAAAATGTAAAGTATATTACTTACATTTTTATATGAAATAAAGTGTCGTCATCATACCTCAGTTTTCAACAAAAAATTATTTAAATACTTCAAAATATAACGATTATAGTTCATTAAAACAATTGTTACACATATCATTCATAAATTAATTAAAACAATATTTCGATAATTACAGCAGAAACTGGAATTTTGGATTCATTAAAAATTAAATTATTATTATTTTTTACAGGATATTATAATTATCATTAACAACTATTGATCTATAAAATACATTAATTATTAAATAAAATATCATTAATGTACATATAAATGTGCTTGAAATAATATTTTATCGTAAACTTGTACGTATGTTAAAAAAAATAATGTAAATACCTTGATTATAATAATAGATAAATATTTTATCGTATTAAACTAATTTTATAAATTATAAAATATATTAAGGTTTTATAATCTCTGTAATATAGAACTACGTGTTAATCTTGTCATAAAAATGGATTCATACCAAAAAAATTAAAAATGGCTATAATACTATAACTAAAATTAGTCGAGTTAAAAAAAAAAAAAAATAATAATGAAACAAGTGATCATAGTATACATTTTATAATTTTGGCATTTTATTTATATACATTTTAAATCATTTTAATCACAATAAAATGTTATGATAATAATATAGATGTCTTAACTGTTATTATAATTTGTTAATAATATGCTGAAAATTAATATTTTTAATTTTTAATCTGTAAACTGATAGAGAATTGTAAATTTTATTTTACAAGTAATTGGTTGTTTACTTTTTGTGAATAAGAAAAACAATGTTCAATAAAAAGAATTTATTTATTATACTACAAAATGTAATAAAAGCATTATTTGAAAATTCCATAGTCTATACATTTCAAAACAGTTGAAAAAACTATAGTTAAACTTAATTCAATTTTCTAAAATCATCATAACTATCAAATTTCCTTCTAAACACTATTTTTGATATTGAAGTGAAATGCTTTTAATTTAATTTTATGCTAAATATTTTACTGATTCAATGTTGATTTAATTTTAGATGGTATTAATGCATTAACAAGGTTGAATAAAATAAATTTAAGCACAGTAAACTGGTGTATTAATAAGTGGGTCATAGTTCGTTTTATAATACGGTGATATTGCATTTAACAATTTAAATATATGTTTAATTTTGATAAATCACCAGAAACTATTATATTATTATGTTATATATTTAGTTTTATAACATAATTTCCACATATATTATAATTACCTTTTTCTATTATAATTATGAGAATCTCTTATGTCAATTAATATTTATTTTATCTATCTCGGCCGAATGAATAAAAGTTAATAATATTACAAAAGTTTTAATAAGTGAATTTAACTGCATTACCATATTATAAATTATAATATACCCAGTTAATTACTACCTACTAATTTATAATAAATTTATTAAACACATTAAACTAAAAAATTTTAACCAAGTACCTATCCGATTATCTACTAACAACTAAAATGTGTTTTTCTTATAACCTATTTTTTTATGGGGAAGTAATTTACCTTGTTACAAATAAAATGCATTGAATTCAAAAAATTATAAATAACCTGGTTTATTTTTTTCAAATATAATTATAAAATAGTTTTCGCTTTGAATATATTGAAAAAATAATCTGGAAACATGATTTTTTTTAAGTATTTATGTTTTTAATTAATTATTGAAATTAATTATTGTTCATATTTATAGGAATATGAGAGAAATAAGTGGATAAAACAATTTAAATGTTACTAGCTACTGATTAACAGTTAGCAGTGTCTGGTTACCACAGCTAAGAAAGTTTGGTCAAATATGGTTATTAACATACGAATATGTATTATATTTTATAACTATAATATTGTATACAGAAACTTAAAGCAATGAAAAACATTTACAATGTAAGAAAATTATAAATAATAATCAATTATGTATCTAATCCCAATGTTTTTCTTGAGCAAACAAAAATATAGCAAAACTAGTTGAATGGATCAATAACGAGTAGTTATTTTCTTATAAAATACGTGCATTTGATGCATTACATATTTTTATAATAATGTCTTTAGGGTACAAATTCTAGTTAGTATATTTTATAAATATTATAAGTATAATTTAATCCTTTTTATTATAATTTAAAATAAAATTAGTATAATGATAAACATATTTTATGTTGTCGCAGATACCTCAACTTATTTCCGGTGATGGTTTATACTATACCATAAATATCAGTATAAGAAATAATAATTAAAAATCATACATAAAATATAAAAGTAAAAAAATATTTTTAAATTGTTTATGCTGGTCAATTATTTAGTTAAAATCAACTGATAGAATAACCCAAACGGGTATTTAAAGTTTTTTCAATTCATTATTGTCATTATTAAGTTAATATTAAAATGATAATCATTCAAAATATTATAAGTAAGTACTAATCTACATATTGAAAACAAGTATTTGATTTTAAATATATCGATCTAAAGACATTATCGGATAAAGAGAAAACTTTTAAAACACGCAGCCACGAAGGTACTACAGTACTGCTATAAAATATGTAGGTGCATATTTGATTGCTTCGAAAGTATTTGAATTATTTTATTCAATTTAAAATTGGCCAGTGGGCACATTTCAAGATTATTAAAATGTACTAATATTATACTTTTGAACGCCATTTTACCGATTCACTCCAACGTTCAAAACTATTATAAGAATGTTTTTCAATTTTTTTTATGGATTAAATAATCAACAGTGTATGATTCAAGCATCATTTCAGCAAAAAAACATATTATAAGAAACGGCGTACTTAATATTTATTTTATGGAATCTCGAAAATACTTAATTATAAATAAATAATAATAATAAAAACTTAAGAAATTAATGTCTATTGGAATGACCTTACTCATCTAGTAGAAATAACCAATAATATAATACATTGGTCGTCAACGAAATTTTTTTGGATTGTGGAATACGCGAGATGTGTATGTATCTAATTACGGTTTACTCTTTAGGTACCTGTAATCGTGTAGTTATGATTATGTGTATTATCATGTATCGGAAACAGCGATAATGTTGTTGATAACCTCCGCTACTCCAGTAGATCCAGTCTTCCACGGTTTATGGAACACGCACTTTCGAAACTTAAATAGTTTGAAAAAATTATAACAATGATAGGTGCAAAGACTATAGTTGTAATAATAATAATAATAATAATAATAATAGTGAAAATAATAATTACAACGAAAGAACGGATTTGCACACAAACGAATTCGGTGTCAACGTGGAACCCTATGTGAATCGTCTACTGGCGTGTCGAACGTTAAGCTCGGTGTCGCATTGAAGGAATACTGAACAATGAACACCACCGCCGAGGCCGCCGTCCCGACAGGGATGTAAAACGCGAAACAAAAACGGGACGCAAAAAAAAAGACGACGGTGGGCTGGTGCAATATGAATTCGACTAGTACTTAAACGTTTTTAACCACAAATATACGCTAGTTGTACCGTTCTATACGATACCTATTGTAATATCTGGACAACAGTTTTCACCTTTATCTGTATATACCTTCATTTTATAAATTATCGAGTTGTGAATCGATGGGTCGCGTTCTGCGGGTAGTTTCCAAACCACGACTCTACCGAGAGATTCATTTACAACATTTATTATTTCATAAAATATTATTGTTATTGAAAATATTTCTTTACATAATTTTGCGAAAAATATATTTTACTATTTTCTATCTTTATAATTTTTTAAATGTTTTACTGTCTTATTAAATTTTATTAATGACAACATGCATTCAATTCCTTATGCCATAGAAAATAAAGTATTTTTGGATTACTTAGATAAATAAAAATCGAATTTAGACGACTAAATTATTAAATATGAATATTTTAAGTTATGATTAAAGAAATGAAGAAGTGGTACAGGAGTATTTTCCCCAAAAAAATGCTTAACTTAAAATATTAATGTCTAATAAGTTCCTTGCCCAAAATTGATTTTTATAAAACTTGTTATCACAAATGAAATTTTGTGTTGAGTATACGAAATTAAAAATGTTTGTTGTAATTCAAACGTGTAAAATGTGATGTTTTTAAAATTTTAAAATAATAACGATAAATAATATTTATTTTTTTCCAAAAATGTTATTTTATAACGATTTACAATTATATAAAAGATAATAAGTTCTGAAAAAATTTAATGATTTCTGAAATAATGAGTGTGATATCTTAAATGGACCACATATTTATCATTTGATATTTAAACAATGAATAAATCATTATTCGTGGGACTTAAAATATTTATGTATACTATGCATTTTACTATACACAACGACATTTTCAAAATATGTAAATTAATTTTAAGATATTTCCTATTTAAAGTTTTTACTTAGAATCTACTTACATTGTTTTATGATAAGATGGTATTGACTCAAAAGTAAAGAGAATGGTACACTTACATGCGTTATCTTCGTCTAACAAACGCATAATATACTAAATTTTACATTTTAAAAATCAGTAAAAATGCATAGACCACTTAAAATTTTAAAATGGTTATAACTCGCTTTAAAATTAAATTATAAAAAAAAAAAATTAAAGGTGACTTAATAATAATCTTACTTTTAAATTTAATGGTAGATAAATTAATTGTAACAATTAAGTATGAATGAGTTGTATGAATTTTTCAAAATGTAAAATGTATAGGTGTAGTATACTCCTTATAACAATAATAAATTATAGTAAATATTTAATCATTATATTAAATAAAAATTAATTGTATAATAAATGCAATATTTTTTTAGAAAAAAAAAATTAACCTATCATAAGATCAATAGTACATGGCTATAAATATTACTTTAATAATAATAATATATTTAATAAATATATCATAAAATATACTTTATGATGTAAACTGATATACAGACCTCTTCTCTCCAGAGAGACTCCTCCTAGAATCGGCTTTCGTCTACAATAATATATATATAATTGTATTTAAATTTAAAATTTTCTTTAGAATCTTTTTGATACGAACATTTGATAATATTATTATATTTAATACATTTTTTTGTTCAAAATTTAAATTTCTTGTTTTTTTTTTTCGTCAAAACGTTTATAATTTATTTCGTATTTAATTTAATCATATGATTTATTACTAATGTCATTTCAGGCAATTATTCCTATTAGTTAATACATTTATTTTATGCGTGTCATTATTATGCAAATTAATATTTTATTTAAACGTTCTTTAGTAGTTAAGAAACAAGTCTAAATACATTCAATTCATATTCTTGTTCAATATCAAAAATAAAGAATCAATATATTACATACTTAGTTTTGATTTTGAAGGATATGAATTTCCAATCAAATTTTATTCAAATTAGTTTATAATTTCACAGAAATATTTTATTTCAGAATTATTAGTTTTAAAAGGGTTTTATTTTTATCTTTATTATTACAGTAGTATTATAGTATCATTACTACTGGGTATATAAATAGTCGAATTCATTATGGTTGTACCACGATATAATATGTAACAATAGACTCGGAAATAATGTATTATTTTTAAGGTTAGACGTTTTACATATTTTAGACTATTGAATATTTGATTATTGAAAAAATAATAAATCGGCGCGAAGTAAGCTACGTTTAAATTGTATTTTCTAATGCATATATAAAAAATATTTTATATATATATATAAATTTAAATGATAAATACAATATTAAATTCATGTTAAGATTGCACATTTTTCTCAGTTATTATGTAAACTTATCGTTATTTAACGAGAGACGAATAAAAAATAAATGTAAGATGACATAATACGATAAAATAGGTTTATACCATTATAATATGTTGCGCTATAACCAGATAAAAAACAAAAAATGTATCCTTTATATTTTTATCTGAATGAAAAGCAATTTTTTCCTATATGATAATATATATATATATATATATATATATATATATATAATTATACTAGTTAGAAGAAAAAAGTATAATAATTTCGAGTATATTAGTATTATTAGATAACAATTTTATAACGTTGGTAGTTTGGTACATACAAATTATTAAATAACAGTTTTTAAATTCCTATCAAGTTAACCTATTATTAAATGATTAGAATAGATACTATATTAGCTCGACTAATAGATTATATTATTTACTATTTAGCATATCTAGAAGCTAGCATAGTAGTATCTACACCGGTTTATACACGTTATATAATTTGTTAGAATTGGTTTACTCGTTAAAAAGATGTCAGCGCATTGATTGTTTTCTCTCCCCGACTCAGACGTCAGATACTAGACAAAACGTATTTACACAGAATTATTTTTTGATATTTTTATGTAATCATAGAGTAAAAACATTTTGAGGGTTTAACATATTAGTTTTATATTTTATTATTATTTGACTTATTATTCAACTTACAAAAAAATAAAAAATAAAAATTATGTTTAAAATTGTTTTGAGACAATATTTAGCTAAATCGATATGCCATACCCTCAAAATTATTGTTTTCTATAATTTTTTTCATGGGTAATGTTACTCTAAAATTTTTTAAAAACGTTAAAAAAAAATGATTCTACACAAATGCGTTTGTTTATGTTACGCTGTTACGTGTGAGTCAGAGAGAGAAAACAAATGCTGAAATTCTCTTAACAAAAATCGAAGAACGACATAAATTGTAGAATTTATTTTTCAACTAGCTAAAGTTGTTATTTAGAATTTTACTAAATAAAAATATGTTGAATTTGTTCATACGAATTTAATATTGCACGTTTGACACATTTTCAAGGTGATAATTTTTAAGTTATTTTTGAATTTTCTGTAAAATACGAGTACATATACATGATAATATTAGAATTAAAACTATATTAATATATAGTTACCTTAACAATGATTTTTTTTGTTTGTACGGTAACTCTTGTTTTAAATTCTGAATTATGATAACTTTCTGAAAATTTATTTGTAAAATATTGAATATTGAACCAATTTTTTATTATCCATAAGCATTTTAAGTTTATACGAGTATAAGAGGTGAAACATAACAGGGAACGACCTTCGAAATTTTACTGCACTACGACTCTGAACCTTACATACTTATAAATAATAAAATATAGGTAGGTTCAATAATCGATAATATGATGAATACATCCATTTGCTAAAAAAATATTCTATGCTAGAATATAAAAACTTGTTATTACATATTAAACCGTTTAAACTTGAAAATGGCATATATTTTACCAATTTCTTCAAAAAAATATTTTTCGTATGTAAAATAAGGTATTTGGATCATAAAATGGTTAATATTTTTGATAGCAGAACCAACTATTTAAATAAATTTAGACAGATCAATTAATAAAAAGTGAAGTATAGGCTTATACAATTTGAATAATCATAAACATATTATTAATTATTTTTATGAATCCAAAGATTAGATTTAACAAATAAATGTTCCATATATTTCTTATAACTTAGAATTCTTTATAACAAGTAACTCACAGGCTCTTCATTCTAAAGTTGATATATCTTCTTCTAGATTTTCTTTGATCGTGTGTTTTCCAAAATTCCGCCAGTTATTAAGCTAGGTAATTCATCTGCAATCTCAACCTGTGACCTATCATCTATGATTTTCCATATTCTTTTTTTGAACAATTTAAAGCATCTATTAATGTACTATTTTTACTAAATGCATTGCAGATGGTCATATCTCATTTCGTCATGAAATGAATCCAATTTTACCACCAACCTATTTTGATTACAACACGATTTCGAAAATGTTCAGAATTTTAATAACTCTAATTGATAAACATACACGATTTCACAATTTCATATAATATATTTAAACACGACTCCACATAATTTTAAACGCAATGTAACAAACAATTATTGCATGATAACATTACATTTGAGATTATGCGGAATCGTGTTTAAATATACCTAAATGAAAATTTTTTGTATGTGTATTAATGGTTATTACATACAACTTTTTTTTATCGTTATTATAAGTTGCAATTTTTGACAAATTAAAATATTAAGTTTTGTTTTTCACACTACATTATAAAATTCTTATTTATAAGGTACTTCTCAAACCTATTTGGTCCTATGGATTTCAACTTTGGGTGTTAGCCAAAGACTCTAACATAAACAGAATCCAAACATTTCAATCCAAATGCCTCCGACTGATAACCAAAGCTCCTTTTTACGTATCGAATGATACTCTTCACAGGGACCTTCTTATTTCGACAGTCAAAAACGCGGCTAAAACCTTATATAAACGTTTCCACCTTAAACTTGCAAATCATCATAACCCCCTCATCCAAAACCTC